AGCGTCTTGCTGATACGAGTTTTTAAAAAGCCCCGGAAAATAGTCTAGAGCAAAAGTGAGGTGGGTGTGTGGGTAAATATAGGAGGGAGAGGGCAGGAGTTAGGGAAGTCTGGACTTCTGCCCCTGAACACTTGTGGTTTTTTTTGGGGGGGAGCCCACTTTACTACTTAAACTTCCGCCCGTGGCACTCTGCCACAGTTTCAGAAGCGTCGAAGGTCAGCCTGCCAAGAGAAAGGACAGCTCGCTCTGTGTTAAGTGCCCAGAGATGCCCACGGCACGGAATCCGTGGCACCCCTCGTGGGCTTATTTAGGGCATGCTTTGCCAGAGGCGGGCTCTGTGGGCCATCCTGGCGCCAGGAGGGATGGGCGGTTTTCGGCAGGTGGCATGCGTGGCCCAGACAGAACCGAGGTGTAGGGACGCTCCCCTGTTTTAAGGGAAGGGAGATGTTTCAGAAGTAGTTTTACCTGTTTCACATCACCCCTCCCCCACCAGTGAATGTTTCCACAGCCAAGCCAGGATTCGAACTTGGGTCCTCTGAGTCCTCGGCCGTCACTCTGTCCACTCCACTCCGCTGGGTGTCTCTGGGTGGGTCTTGGAGGGGGCTTTTCCTGCTGGAGAGGGGACCCAGGGAATCAAGACCTCAACCGTGCCCTTTTTTAAATTTTTCCTTCGGGGGCATGAAACACGACCCTTAATTTTCCCTTTTTTTTTTTTGCTGTTACCCTTCAGGGAATGGACGGCATCCGGGGCTTGAAGGGCCACAAGCCCCCCCCCCGTCCAATCTCTGTCTTGCCCAAATGGGCTTCCTTTTTCTGATCTGGGGCCGGTCGGCCGGATGTTCCTGGCAGAGGAATCCTCCCCTTCCCCCCCTCCCCAATTTGCCAGACGGATTCCAAATCCAGAGGAACCAAAACGGTAGGATTTAAATGCCCGCGAGAAGGAGGCTGTTGCGCTCTACATGTTTACATGAGAGTAAAGGGCCCCCCTGAACCCAACGGGAGCTGCTCCCAGGTTGACACAGACGGACCGAGCTGCTCGTGGGGCTTCCCCGGACGCCGGAAAAAATCGTGGAGTCAGGGAAGGGAGGGCTCCGCGGCTGGATCAGATCAAACTGGGCCCCTGCCTGCGAAGAAAACAGGGAAAGTCCTGGGGGGGCTCCCCATCTCTGGGCTTAGGTCCTGGAGGGAAGCCACCGATGGCCCAAACCTCTGTGAGCTTGCCCCGTCCCCTGTTCAAAGATGTCCCAAGTCGGCAGCCTCCGTCCCTTGTGGCAGGGAGTTCCGCCGGTTCCTCTTGCAGTAGATGAACAACCGTGTGAGTTCTCTGTGCCGTCTGCATTTCCTCTGAGGTGGCTGGGCCTCAATCTCTCTTTCTTTCCTCCAGGGAGAAGAAGGTTTTCCTGGGCTAAAAGGCGACATGGGCGTGAAGGGGGACATTGTGAGTGACAGCCCATCAAGGCCTCCCTCCGGGAGGGGCATTGGAGGAGGTGTGGGGGGGATGAAGGCTGCCTGGGGTGGACTGGAGGGGACCCCCTCCTTGATGCTCTCCTGCTTCCTTCCTGCGCTCAGGGCGAAGTCGGCGTCCCAGGATCCCGGGGTGAAGACGGACCCGAAGGCCCCAAAGGCCGGACGGGGCCCCCGGGAGATCCCGGCCCCATTGGGCCCGTGGGAGAGAAGGTGAGGGTGGGGTGACTTGTGGAGTCGGGATGGGGTGGGGAGGTGGATCAGGGCTGCACCTGTGGCTTTAATGAAGAGGGAAAGACCCCCAATCCCATGAGCAGGGTTTCCCTGATCGCCTCCTGTGTTCGGCTTCCGTGGCTGCTTCCCAGAGACTCTGGAACTCCTTGCCACTGGATGGTCAGGCTGGGCCCATCTTTGCCATCCTGGCAAAAGATGGCCAAGACTTTTCCTTTTAGGCAAGCCTTCCCTGAGTTGACGGGGTTGCCACTGGGTGGGGCTTTTAAATGGATGGTTGTGCCTTGTTGCTTTGAAGGTCTGTTGGGTGTTGCTTTTATTTACCATCTTTTGCTGTGGTACTTGTTTGATCTTTTTTTTTTAGCCTTGTACACTTCCTGTTTTGAGCTTTAAACATTGTCTTTTAATGGTATAAGCTGCCTCGGGCTCATGTTAAGAAGAAAGGCAGGAAATACAGTGGTGTCTTGCTTAATGACGTTAATTCATTCCAGCAAATGAAATTGCTGTAGAGCGAAAAAGTTGTAAAGCGAAATAAAAAAGCCCATTGAAATGCATTGAAAACCGTTCAATGCGTTCCAATGGGCTGAAAAGTCACCGTCCAGCAAAGATCCTCCATAGGGGCAGCCATTTTCAGTGCCTGTGCAGCGAGGAATCTGTCCCTGAGCACAGCAGGGAGCCATTTTCTTCAGCGGCCATTTTGAAACCCGACGATCAGCTGTTTTTGATTGTCGTAAAGCGAAAATTGGTTCCCGAAGCAGGGAACCGATAATCACAAAGCGAAATCCCCCCATTTAGACCATCAAGCGGATTTGTCATTAAACAGGGAAATCGTAAAGCGGGGCACAACTGTAAATTTTGAATGAATGAATGAATGCATGCTTTTAATCTCTCACTGTCTCTCTTTCTCTTTCTCCCTCTTTCTGGGGTTCCCCCCCCCCTCCACAGGGCAAACTCGGTGTTCCAGGCCTGCCTGGCTATCCGGGGCGCCAGGGTGCCAAGGTTGGTATGAAACCCCCTCCCCCCCACACACACATTTTTCAGTCACTTTGGCTGCTTCTGCACCGACACCCCGTCTTGGGCTGGTGCAGGGCAGGACTTTTGACGGAGAGCCAGAAAGAGGAACTCAAGGGGATTCTTCCTGGCTCAGCATTTGGCCCAGCACTTCCCGGGGGTGGGGTGGGGGGCAAGGATCCTTCCATGCTTCTCTTATACTACTTACTCCCCCGGGGAACCCATTCAGCCCAATTGTCTCCTGCAGGGACAGTAAGCTTGTTCACTTTGCCATTTTACACCCAGAAAAACGCAGCCTTGCCTTTCCTGCTCTTTGGCTACACCTTCAAAGGGCTTCTCGGTGCTAATGGTGGGCTGGGGAGCCTGCCCGAATCATCAGGCGTTATGTCACTGCATCGCGGCCTCTCCCAATTTGAAGAGACCCTTGTCCAGCAGGCCGAGGCAAAGAGGAAGTCACAAAAGCAGCAAAAGCAGGGAGCTGGACAGGGGACAGATTGTATTTATCTGCAGTGTGGAAGGGACGGTCACTCTCGAAATGGCTTTCTCAGCCACACTAGACGCTGTTCCAAGTCCTCCATACAGAGCATTTCGAGACTGAAGGATGCCTAACTAACTAATGTCTGAATAATAAAGCGGAGGGGGGGGTGGAGGGAGGAGAGCGGAAGTAAGGTATGAATGAAAAAATAAAATCAATAATAGAATCATTTAGATTTTTATTTACGAAACTCTTCTGGGAAAGAGGGGAGAGTGTAGAAGCGATCTTGTTCGAAAGCAGAAGAAGAAAGGAAAACTAGCGATGCATTGTTGACACTCGTTCCGTATCTCACAAGGCACAGCACTGAGGAATTTTGTGGTCTGCTTTGCACAGGAGAAAAAGCCCGTTTGCAGAGCAGCCGAGAGGTTCGCCAAGTGGTAGCAGCCTCTCTTACGTCTCCCCGAACATCTTGAGTTCTTGGCTTGTTTCCCCCTGCCCCCCCCCTACGTTTCCATCTTTCCCATCCTGCATAAAGAAAAGCCGAGGCTGGCTAAGATTTAGAGCACCCCCCAACACCCCTCTTCTGTGCGATAACAGCCTCTCTGTTTTCCTTAGGGATCACAAGGCTTCCCGGGATTTCCCGGAACCAACGGTGAGAAAGGCAGTCGGGTAAGTAGTCCTCCTCTGGAGCAACGCTCGTGGGCCCCACCTCCGTCCCCTTGCAGAGTATCATTCAGCATCCTGTGGGGAGTCGTATTCTGACACACCCAAAAGAAACCAGCTTGGGGCTGTCGTGTAAGCCGACAGGAAGCAAAGCGATTCTCCAAAATTCTCAAACTGGAATTCCGTCATCCATTTAGTGGGAATCTTTTAAAGAGCCACCTCCATCCACAGATTTTAAACTCTATGAAGATAGGATTCGGTGGAGGGATCCTATGCATCTAAAATATTCCTACAGTAATGCAAACACAAAAATCTTCCATTTTCCCTTCCCACAAAAGCAGGGAATAAATTCTACTAATCCAGAAACATAAGAGGGGCGATTCGTAATGGATTATCTGTCCGGCGTTCTCTCTCTCCCCCGCCCCCATGGCTGTAGAAAGACTGGTTTTAGTTTGTCTGTGGAAGGGAGAGGGGGAAGGGAACTCTGCATATGCTCAATGACACTTTTCTTCTTCCAGAGCTGATGTATAAAGAACTTTGTTTAAATCTGAGAACAGAAGCAAGCGGTTTTTCCATTGGCCCTTGCGTTGTGACAGGAAGGTGTATTGGGCTGGGGTTCATTTCACAGATTGTAGGGATTTCCCCCACCCCATAATCAGTCTAAACATGAATCCTGCCCACTTTGGCTATCTATAAAAGGTTCAAATACTGTACAGCAAAGAGAGAAGGTCAAGATGCGCCTCTGTTCTTGAACTCCTTTTCTTCTTTTCCTTAATCTAGGGTGTATCTGGGAAGCTTGGGCCCCGAGGAGAGCGTGGACCCTCGGTGAGTAACATAAAAGGAAGGGGGGAAGAGGGGAATTGTGAGAGTTTTCATCCACCACCTCTCAGGGCGGAAAAAACAAACAAAGCCCCAAGATGCAAAGCTTCATAATTGGAAGCAGAACTGCCTTAAACAGTGAAAGGAGTCTGATTAACCTCCCATTGGAAACGGTCTTGCTTTGTTGGTCAGTTGGGAGGAGTAGGGGGAAAAAACACCAAGCTGTGTTTGTATGATGACTGCGTGAAAGAGGCAGTTGTCTATGCGGCAGGAATAGAGAAGATTTTCTCACCCCCTAACTGTGAAGCTGCCTGTCTTCTCTCTTTGTCCTCCAAAGCTCTCACCTCACCTCAGAGCGGAATTCAGTTTCCATTTTTAGTGCGTGGGCCTGGAAGATGCTTTCCAATTGCCCCCCGCCTGTAGCCACTCCCCCTCCCCGGAGGATTTTTTGCAATAGATTTCTGTGAGATTTCCATTCTGCAGTCTGGACCCCCGAATCCATTCCAATGGATAAAGAAAACCCTTCTATAGAAACATGGGCCTCTAACAACTTTCCCGGGAAAACCCACCTTGCCATGTCCGTTTAGACTCTTTTAAGTTTCAGACTTTTAAGTTCTTCCCGTTGGTACAAACCTGATGAAGTGGTGTTTTATCCACGAAAGCTTGTGTATTGTACGGTGATTTTTCAGTGGTCTATAAAGGTATCGCCTACTTTTGTATTTGTATTTTATATTTTGTTTGGACCACGCAAGCGACCATTTACTGCAATGAGGCAGAAGTGTCCCCCCTGATTTTTGGGGGATGAGAGAGAGACTCCCTCTTTTTTGGACATTTACCTCTTGTTTCCCCACTGAGACCCTCGGGAGGGGACGTTGTAATCCTCCATTCACAAACACGCATTTGGGTTTCCGGAAACAAGCAGGGCAACCCATTTTCTCCCTGAAACAACATCATTCCTTCCCCCCCCGTATGTGTTACACCTACGTAGAACATTTTGCTCTGTTCGCAATGCACAGGAGCCTGGAATAATCAGGCTGATCTCCAGCTAGAAGCCTATAAAATCATGGCAGTGACAGGCTTTAAAAAAGAAAAGACAAAAAAGCCTACATACTCGGTTCGGCAAAGAGGGGTTTCGGTGGACGATCAAGAGATACGAAGAAAGGCCCGAAGCGGCTTCTGTGGGACTGTGTCGAACTGACCCACTCCCAGTTTTGTCACCTCTGAGGCTTGTGGGTGCATGCGTGGCCTGTGTTGTTCATGTGTTGCATGTGGGGCTGGTGGCAAAAAATGGGGTGGCGCTGTGGGCTAAACCGCAGAAGCCTGTGCTGCAGGGTCAGAAGACCAAGCAGTTGTAAGATCGAATCCACACGACGGAGTGAGCGCCCGTCGCTTGTCCCAGTTCCTGCCAACCTAGCGGTTCGAAAGCATGCAAATGCAAGTAGATAAATAGGGACCACCTCGGTGGGAAGGTAACAGCG